TTAATATAGTTAGATACTAAGCTAAGAGCCGACTAAGGGGGATGTGATAGAGGTCTGTAAAATCATGAATGGCGTGGACAACCTGAATACAGAAATTTTATTTACCTTTTCCCAGAATACAAAAAACGGGTCACCCAATTAAATTAGTTGGTAGCAGGTTTAATACAAATAAGAGGAAGTACTTTTTCAGAAAGTGCACAAATAACTGGATTCAAAAAAGCATTAGATAAGTTCATGGAGGATAGGTCCATCGATAGCTATTAGCCAATATGGTCAGGAATGTAACCCCATGCTTTCAACCCCAGGGATGCAAACTTCTGACTGCCTGAAGCTGGGAGGGGAAGACAAGGGTGCATCACTCCAACTGCCCAGTTCTGTACACTCCACCTACAGCTCTGACACTGGCCACTGTCGGAGTCAGGATACTGGGCTGAATTGACCATTGGTCTGACCCAATTTAGCAGTTCTGATGTTCTTAATTTACATTCATATAATGTCTTTCATCTAAAGAATTCCCAGATTCATTACAACATATGATGCAAGGGCCATCCCGTACAGATCCAGATGCAGTACTGCGGCCTATAAATACAACACCAATGAAATACAGCCATCTCTGGGGCAAGCAGTGGCAAATATTTATCAACAAACATTCAACACAACAGTGGAGAAAAAACATAGATTGGCCAAGGCCACCTGAGGAGGCCCCTGCTCTTACAAAAAGTGCTATAGGATCTTTTATGTTCAAACACAGCAGATAATTTTTAGGTCTTATCTGAAAGAAACATAGAATACCTGGTACCCACTTAACTTCTGTAGCTCAGAAAGCAGAAGGGCTGGAATTTGAACTTGTAATTCCATGAGGTGCAGGCTTTTCAAGAACAAGAGTAATATATAGTTTCATATGCTGTGCTTAATGTAAATCGGATAGAGGGAGAGAGTAATAAACAAAGCGACCATTAAGTAGACTTCTGTCTGAAGGATATGAAACCAAATATTTGCTATGTTTAAGTGGTTCAGTGCTCTAGTTTTGTTTCGTTTTCTGAAGTTGTTCATCCACATTTTTCCCCTGGGTTCTTCCTCTCACTTCACTCATGCTGATGAAAAAGACCACATGGAATAAATGTCGCAGTATTGGGAAGGACAGAGACAATTTCCATGAAAGCAGATAAAGAGCCTTAAGACCATTCATTAGGTTCCAAGTTAGCTCCTGTGCACGATCATTGCTTATGTAGCTCAATCTGTTTTAACTATTCTAGATATTTCTAAGATGTTTTGACATCTCAGTGCTTATGAGACGTGTCCCTTTGTCAAATACCGTAGTCAAGGATCAGGGCCGGCTCCAGCTTTTTTGCCGCCCCAAGCACTGAAGCGGAAAAAAAAAAAGATAAAGCCACGATCGGCGGCACTTCAGTGGCAGCTCTACCACGCAGCTTCATTCTTCGGCAGCAATTTGGCGGCGGGTCCTTTGCTCCGAGAGAGACTGAGGGACCCGCTGCTGAATTGCTGCCGAAGACCCGGATGTGCCGCCCCTTTCCATGGGCCGCCCCAAGCACCTGCTTCCTTCGCTGGTGCCTGGAGCCGGCCCTGTCAAGGATCCAGGGAGAGAAGCCAGATCTAAGATTTGAATGCATAGAACCCTGCACCAACCAAAAAAATGTGACAACACAAAAAAACATAGGAGGATTAACTATAACAGAGGACTGTTTCATTTAGACATTTATGTCTGTATTGGCAAAGCAAATAATTTAAGACAGAAATAAGTAACTATTTGGCAAACTGAGGTTAAGTAAAAGTCAAATTTTTCATTGAAAACAATACTACACATAACATTATCATAAAACACTATCATGAGTACAGCATAAATTTTTCCTCATAATATAGTTCATTTGTATTCTCTTTCCAAAGTTTGTGTGTTCCGTGCAAGATCTTAATCTCTTTTTATGTTTAAATGCCTAATTATGTCACTGGAAGCTATTAAAGTGTTGAAACACCCAAAAATATAGTTTAAATTCTCCAAATGATTTTTTAAACATTCCTCCTAAACACAGGCCATTGTGCGAGGTGTGTGACTTCTTTAAGAAGATAATCTCTATAGCTCAGTTATGTGTGCGGATTAGGTAGAAGAGAAGAGGGTTATAGGATGGCCTTTAGGGGATGAAGATGATTATTTAACATTTTTATAAGCCACCACAGACTTGTGCTAGGCATCTTGTGGACAGATATGAAGAGAAGGTCCTTGTCTGAAGAGTTCGCACACTAAACAGAAAGAGAGAGGAAGGGATGAGTTAACTGAACGCAGGAGTAAGCATCTGTCTGGTGAGTTCCACAATTTTTGTCTGATTTTTGTTCTTAATAGTTCCACTCCTGCAAGAGGTCAGGAAGGCCTAAAGTTCCTAAAGAGCAGGGGCACAGTAAGGCTAGCCAGGGCCAAGAGCCGCAAACAGTTTTGAGGCTGTGTCTACACTAGAGAGCTTATAGCGGCACAACTGTACCAATGCAGCTGTGCCACTGAAAGATATCCTGTATAGCTTGCTCTATGCTGAGGGGAGAAAGCACTCATATTGACATAATTAAACCACCCCCAAAGAGTGGCAGTATCTATGTTGGTGGGAGAGCACCTTCCGCTGACATAGCACTGTCCACATTGGTGCTTCTGTCGATGTAACTTATATCACTCAG